TGATACACTTGGTTTGATGAACAAATTAATTTGCTGTTTTGCCTTGTTCCAATTTTGTTTTATTTGTGCTTCTCTGCTGCCATATTATTGCAGGCTTGTTTAGACTGTTGTATGCTTGCTATACTTGCTGCTTTGCAACCTTGGACTTGCTGCTATATTTCCTTTTTTTTGTTTGCTTGCATTGTTGCTGCTTTGCAGCCTTGGACTTGTTGTTATACTTCTTTTGTTTTTCTTGCTTGCATTGTTGCTGCTTTGTGATGTTGCCTTGGCAGTTTGACTTGTTTGTTGTCTTTTTCCCTGCTGCATATACTTATTTGCTGTGACGCTGCCTTGGGCTTTATGCTATTTTGCAATAGAAAATATTTGCAAATTTTATTTTCCCTTTTTGTGAACCAAGGCCCAAACCTTGTGATTTGCAAAATAGGAGAAGATGGACTATGATTAAAACAAGCAACCTTTAAATCTGATTCCACATACAAACCCTAATGATGAATATTCAAACTTGTTTTAGCAATTAATTCTTGAATTTTCACATGTTTGCTAACTTCCTTTCTTGTTTCATGGGCACGAGGCGTGGATGCAAACGAAGCTTGGATTGATTACTTGAAGATGAAGCAACAGAGACTTGAAGACATAAAATAAATATTCTCTCTTTGTAGACAAAAAACTTGTAATTCTTTGTAACAAAACAAAAACTTATAAATCATTCCATTTGTAATGTAATAAATACAAAGTCCTTGAATAAATTAAAACAATTAAAAATCGAAAATTAATTTTTCAAGAGGTCATTGAATCCTTCCATAATTTTTTTTAGAATTTAAAAATCGAGAAAAATATTTTTTAAACAATTAAAAGAAGTCAACTAATTGAAAAATCATAAAAAATACCAAATCACAAAATAAAATTGTGAAAAAATAAAAATCAGAAAGAGAAAAAATCAAAAGTATTTTTGAGAATTTTTTCACAATTTTAGAGGTTGAAATGAATTTTTTAATGAATTTTTAAATTTTAACACAATTAAAATATTAAATCAGAAAATAAAAATAAAACTAAAATAATGTGTACAGTTGGATCAATGTCAAAACACTTTAGTAAGCTAATCCAAAGGATCAGACACACTATGCATATCATGGTCATTAGTGAATCACACATCAGATCAATTATTTAAAAACAGACTTGAAAACACGCGTGGCAATTTCTCATTGGTTGAAGACGCCAATGTGGTCGTCTTCAACCTCTAGCCAACCTCAAAACTATGTTCCTAAACTGTAAAATTAGAGGCTCAAACCAATGTCATTCTCTTCGTCTCTTCAAGAAGATTCTAATGGTATCTTAGCGAAAAATTTCTTTAAACCACAACACAATCGATTTGAGAAAAACCAGAAGAAAAAATTTGGAAAGAAATTTGAAAATTCATGAGAAAAACTCACTTCCAGTTAAAAACAAACGATGCTATGAGAATCAGAGTGATGAGAGCTACATTATAGCAATAAGTTTAGAGAGAATTGATGGAGGAATCTACCTGTTAAAGCTCAACTTCAGAGCTCTGAAACTTGAATTGACTAGCATGATTTAGGGCACTTCAATGCTTGGTTCTTCTTCTGTTAGCTTTAGTGAAGTTCAAGGATGAAGAATGAACAAAGATTTTGGATTGAAAAATGCTTTAAAACCAAATTCGAAGTTGCTGAATTGAGAGGTATGGAGGAAGTTCGACAGAGGTTTTCTGACTCTCTAAAGCTTACGAAAATGAGTGAGGGATGATCCTTATTTATAGCTGAGCATGACGGAAACATAAAGTGAGATAAATGATCAAGTATGAGGGGAATTCGTGTGCACCTGCATCATGAGCAAAATGTGACTTGCAAGTTGACAAAACTAAACCATTCCTTGCGTTTTGATGTGCTAAACCTTTCGAGAAAATTAGTTAATCATGTTTAAACATCAAACGCGCGACAAATTTGTGTTTAGAGGCCACACTAATCAATTTGCAACCTGACTATTTTGACAAAATAAGTTTCATGATACCAACTTTACAGCCATGGGGCACACAATGTAGGGAGTTTTATGATGCAATCTTGGATTCTTTAGAAAAATGAATGATCAAGCTTGACAATATGCTTTGAAAGTTTCCATTTGAATACTTGAGCTGAGAGTTATGTCCATTTGAATTTGTGAAAAACACACGGATTTTTATACTTAGAAAAATTTCTAAGTATAGAACTCTAAAATGATCTATAATGTTCTTCAAAATTACATGATCTTTCACTCAAAATTTGGTCTTGATATCTGAAGATGAAATAAAGTAGACCTCTTGAATTGAATTGTGGAATTAAGATCTCTCAAAAATCATAAAAATTGAGAGAGTTATGATCATTGGAAGATGATGAACAAATTTGAGAAAATTCACAAAAGATCTATAATCTTTTCAATTCTTCAACAACTTTCCAAGAATTTTCAAGTCTTGCATATTGAAACAAAGTTGCAGTAGACATCCAAAAAATTATTATGGAAAAATAATGGGCTCAATGAGATAAAAATTTACCAAGTTATGATCATTTGAAGTTAAACCCTAAGATTCAAAGGCTTTTCAAAGAGACTTGTAATCTTTCTCAACCATTAGTGATCTTTCATTCAAAATTAGCCTTAGACCCCTGAAGAGAACTTGTTAAGGAACCTTTAAAGAGAATTATGGATTTAGAGTCAATCAAAAATCTCAAAAAGTGAACAAGATATGGTCCTTGAAAGTCAACAAACCCTAACTCAGAGAGTGTCAAAAGGAATTGAAATCTCTTTCAATTTTTGATGATTTTTCTTGCACAATTGAATCTTGTCACGTGAAGAGAGATTGTATAGATGATGATAAGAATCCATAGCAAAAAGAACCAATCCAGTAAGTTGAAAACTGAGAGAGTTATGCACATGTGATCACTGAAACAAACATTTGCTCAATTAGGTCAAACTTGTTAAATCAACCTTAAATCTTTTGAACTGTCTTGGTAAAAGAAAGCATGATGAATCACAATAGGTCTTGAGATGATGTTGTCTTGAAGCACATTCAAAGATGGAGCTTAAGTCTCAATGAAACTTGTTGAAGAAAACATGAAAATAAACACATGAACCTATGAATCTTCTTGATGAATTCCACCACCAACTTTGAGGAAAATTTGACCTAAATAAAGTGAGGGAGCTCTTTAAACCATAAATCTTTAATATCATAGATATAGCCTTGAAGCTTGAACTCTTGCAGCAATCCATTGAAGAACCATTTGACTGAGGACCACCCCTCAAACCCTAGGTTAGATGGTGAGATGAATGCAATTTTGTCATCACCTACAATATAAACATTCAAAGAGACCTATATAAATATTTTGATGTTAGTCTAAGAAAACATGTACAAGATACATAATTCAAGGTGTTTGGTAATCCCTCAAGAGAAAATTTAAAGATAGGATGAAATAGAAAAGAAGAACCAACCTTAATGTATGATTTTTGATGTATTGATAATATGAGATGATTAAAAATTTAAGAGTAAAAATTTAGATATAACAATTATTATCTAGTTTATTAAATTATTTTGATGTAGTTAAAGGATTTAAGAAAAAGTATTAAGCCCTTAGTTATATTGGCTTCATTCTCTGATTTTCATTTGATATTGCCGACAGTTACTCACCTCCTTGAAATCACGAGTTATGAGCAATGTCAGCTTCTGAATTTTTAACGTTTATTCCTATTATAATTTCAACGGTTAGTTGTATCATTTATTGAAGTTGATTGAATCTCAGGCAATGCTGGTTTAAGTGTATATTTGGTGGGTGTGTAGTGCTGTCATGCTCATTGCCAGTTCCTTCTTATTTTTGGAAGTGTTACACATTGTTTAATTATCGAATTGCAAGTTAGAACATTCTGCAACAAAAACTGTTAACCGTGTGGATATTAGCAATATCATCTAAGACAGCAAATTAAGATTAATTAATTTTTTTTAATCATAACTTATTTTAAGCTCTCATATGATATGAGAGTCAAATGTGATAATATCTAGGTGTACTTGATTGTTGTGTGTGATGTTGTAAGGTATTTTATTAAAACACATAGGAGTAGATGTTATTAGGAATTGTTGCTACTCAGTTTAAAATATTACTACATCTCTCTTAAATTATAAGATTTTTTTGAATTTTTTTCTTATTCATTTTTATGAAATCCTATTCAACTTTTAAAATGTATTAATTATTTTTTTATAAACATATTTTTAATTAATTTTTTTTTTTACAATCTATAATAAATACAGTTACATACACATTAACTATTTCTCTCTTTTAAAAATAAATTTATAAAATTATACAAAATAGTCAATAAATTTATTATTCTAACAAATTTTCTTAATTTCTTCAATTTACTCAACAAAGTTTTATATTTAAGGAATGTCATTAATTTGTTAAATTGTTATTAGTCCATGCATATATTTTTTTTTGGGTTTCACATTTTATTAAATTTTTTTTTAATCAACACTTGTATTAACTCAAAAAACATTGAATACACGGCGATCGCTAGGATTCAGCCCTCAAACAAACAAATGTATTAAACTAATCTTAAGGCATCATCAACGAAGCTAAATGTGATTTAAGCTTATGACTAGTCCGCCCTCTATAAACAATCACATTAATGACCCTCTCTACAATATTCCTATCATCACTACACTTACGAAAAATGAAATCATTACGAAAATGCCAGCATTCGTGAATGGTTTTAGCAATAGTCATTCTAACCAAGTCAGATTTCTAACCCTTACCACGATAGTGCCTAAGAATCTAATTCACTTCATCAGTCCAAACTCCATAAACATGTATAATACGAAGCCATTTCAGCATAGCTTCCCAAATATCCTTCAGCTTCGTACACCCGAAGAAAAGATGATCAACAGTTTCTTCTTTATCATAGAAAACACAATTATTATTAGATATTATACCAAACTTGAACAACCTAGCTTTAGTTGCTAAGCTCCCATGGCAAGTCATCCAGAGAGTTATAATGGACCGGGGTCATGCCTTGTTAAGCAGAATAAGATTACACCATATCACTTTATCACTGACCGGTATCAAGTCATTATAAACTTTCCTGCTGTAGAACTTCCCCTCATTCAACATACTAGCCCACAGACTGTTAATGTCAGCCACAACTACACGTTGCTGCATAATAGCTTTAAACATACCTGAGTCAGTCAGTTTGGGACTTCTGTACGTCACCTCATCATTCTTCAGATAGTACGCATGAATCCATTGAATCCATAAGTTGTCAGCCTTAGCACAGATATTCCAAAGCAACTTCAGAATGAACACTCTATTCCATAGTTCCATATCCCCAACATTAAGCCCACCTTTTGTTAATGGTTTGCAAATTTTCTCCCAAGCAACATGGCTCTTCTTACTCACGGTATTGCTCCCTGTCCAGAGATAAGTTCTACAAACAACAGTGATTTTATGCAAAACAGTCTTGGGGAAAAGAAAACACTGCATCCAATAAGACGTAATAGCATACAAAACACTCTTAATGAGCTGCAGCCACCCTGCGTAACTCAGCAAACTGGCGCTCCAATATGTAATTCTGCAGACCAATTTATCTACAAGGGGCATGTAATGGATCACAGAGAGGTTCTTACTGGTCACAGGCACACCCATGTAACGAAACGGGAGGTAACCCTCGCGGTAGGAAGTCCTGTTCAAAATATTTTGTTTGATATCATCTGTCACCCCACCAAAATAGATGCTAATTTTTGTAGGATTCATCTCATCCCTGTGGACTCAAGGAAAGTTTGGAGAGTTTGATGCACAAGCTCAATCGATCTAATATTTTCCCTGGAAAACAACAGCAAATCATCAGCGAAAATTAGGTTGGTAATTGAAAGCCTCTCACACTTGGGGTGATGATTGAAGTCCGGGTTCTTTTGCATTTGAAAGAAAAGTCTATTCAAATACTCCATTGTAATGACAAACAAGAGAGGAGATAATGGGTCTCCTTGACGTATGCCCCGTATAGCCTCCATTTTATCAGTAAACTTTCCATTCAGATTGAATCTGTACGAAACAGTGGTCATAGTTGTCATAACTCAGTCCACAAATTTTCTAGGAATACTAATTTCACACATGATATTCTCCAGCGCACAACAGTCCACCATGTCGTATGTTTTTTGGAGATCTAGTTGGATCATGCATCTAGGGGAAGTCTCCTTTCTATTATACCCCTTAATCAATTCTGTTGCAAGTAAGATATGATTCTGAATATTCTGCCATATCACAAAAGCAGTCTGCGCTTTATTAATAACACTGTCCAATACCTTACTCAGTTTAGTAGTGAGAATCTTAGATATTATTTTATAAAACATGGAACAGGTTTCTTATCATATTGGTCTTTGCATATTTTTCTATTGATTTACACTTCCTATTATATCAAAATTTGTTTATATCGAACAGGTTTCTTATCAATTTCATACATCATGTTTCATTTATTTTTTTTTGGTGGATTTCAAATCAATAGTTACTCAACCCTGCTAACTTCTAATTTTTGACATTCATATTTTTGGAAGGGGTCTACAAATTACGACTATAAACACAAACATGCTCTTTTGTTCACGATCAACATCACAACCAAGTTTGGTGGGGGACATAATTAACTTTAAAATAAAAATTAAATAAGAACTAAAAAAAAAAGGAAAAATGGATAGAATTGATTGGAATCTTCATGAATAAACAATCATAAATTGCTTTAAAAATAATTAATTGTATAATCATATATGTCATAAATTTTAAAATGTATATAAATTCTTTAGAAAGCCATGTTAAAATAATAACCTTTTTTCTAAATCTTTAAAGAAAATAAACTGTTTTGTTTTTCTCTTTCTCTATCTGATTGATAACCTTTTTTTATTTCTTTTTTTCATTATCTTTTAATACAATTAAATTTTTATAATATTTATTTATTTTACAATTAAATAATTCATTTTAAATTTAATGCATTTTTTTCTCTATCTCATTAATCTTTTTTTTTTTATTATCATTCGATACAATTAAATTTATATTCAAATTTAAATACAAGTGTAAAGAAATATAGAGTTCAAGGTCATTGAAACTAATGAGTGCAAAGTTTACCCACTCCTGTGAATTTTATCATTAAAATATTATTTTTACAGAACATTATCACCACAATATTTTTTTAATCAATCAAATATTTGTAAATATTTATAATTATTAATGATATTTGTAAATATTAATAGTTATTAGTATTATAATTTATTGAAAATTAATTACAAATGAGTGTTCTAAAATGACAAGATAATGGAAATGAGTAAATGCTCATAAATGTATGAGAAATAGTCTCACATAGGAAGATTCACTCACTTTGAATGTCTTTATAAATGAGTTAAAAGCATTAACTCTACAAAAAGATAAAAGAGGATAAAGTGTCACATTGACAAGTGTGGTGATCCCAAGCATTATGCCACTTATCCAAATTCTATAACCCTTTGTCGGTGTCGTTGGTCCGAGGGTGTAGAGGCGGCTTGTATACGGTACTTGAGGCCGCCTCCGGCGGGCGACCCGGCCTTCGGCCGGATTAATTATTATAGTTGCTCCTGTTTTTAGTTGTTGCCTACGTTTTAAAATTCGAATTCGAAAGACATAACATTTTATGGAGTGTTACCGTTTGAAAGCATGCAACTTTTGAATATGATACAATGGACCAAACATTATATCTTTTGATAGAATATATTGTTTCACCAAGGGTGACCACTTTGTGAAACAATATCAATGTTGCCTATAAATAAGTAATTTCGGATTCACAATTACATAACAAAAAAAAACAAGGGAAAACGCTTATCCTCTGAAATATATTCCAAAACGTTCTTCGCTACATTCGGATTTTCATCTGTTTTGTGCAAATCCGATAAGGCTGAATTATCCTGAGTATTCATGTATCAATACTCCAAGACAAATCGGGAGTGCTTGAAATACTATAAAGAAAGTGTTTCATTCACGATTTAAGCCTAGATCCATTCAACTTCGAAGCTTTAACTAACAATTAGACCATATTAGATTTATCATTTGATGATTTACTACATATTTATTTTAAATATTTACTATTATTAATAATTTTATAATAACAATTATATATAACAACAACCATCGAATGATAAGATATAAATGAATATCCATACAGACGGACAAACAGATCTACTACTAATTAAAATAATAAATAAATATTTAAAACAAATCATCGATCGTGATTTATTTAGTGTAAAATTTCTGTATACGGTGTATGAGTATTCTTCTTTATTTAAAATCAATGTCCAAATATTAAACCACTGTTGGGGTGCAATTTCCTGATTTTAATATCAAACATTTTCCTTCTCACTTTCTCACCAGTTTCCAGACTGTAGAAACAACAATCCGCAATACCGCACGTCCATTTTTTCGATCACTCTTCTTCTTCCATCAACAAACACCCCAAACCCTGAATCCTACCTTCTCCCTCTCCCATCGATTTCGTAAGTTCTTCTCCTTCAATCCTTCATCACATTATCATCTTCTTCAATTTTCTTTTATTTCAATTCTCTTTTATTTCAATTCCTAACGTCGATTTTACCATCATAACAACGTTCCAATTCGAATTACGATTATCTTACTTCATCGTTTTTCTTCAGTTACATTCTAGCTTTTTTGTAGATCCATAATGCAATATCGTCACGTCAATTCAGTTTCGTTTACTCATTTTTTGTTTTCCGATTAAAATACCCTACCGTAGTTTTTCAATGTTTTGGAACGGTTTTATGCAAGTATGTATGTAAGCATGCATCCATGATTAACGCTGTTTACACGTCACTTTATGTCTCACTGTACGTTTTGCGACGCTGATTGTGGTGGTCGCTGTGTAAATTGAATTCAATTTATTCTTTATCACAAAAACGCAAAATGCTGATACCGTTTTGTCGCCGTAAGTCTTTTATGTTTATATCTTCTATTTGTTTTATTTAAAGACTTGTTTTAATCGGTTTAAATTGGTTAACTAGATCATTTGTGGAACGGAGGGAGTAATGCCTGCCAAAAGGAGTAGTTAAATATCTTTATTTGATATTGGAAGATCCCAAGTTCCTAACTGGTGTGGAACAATGCAACGGAGGTATGAATAGTTATTGTAGCTTAACAGTTGATATTGTGTTGTTTTCAAATACAAGTCATGATTGTGAACATTATTAGCTATAATTTTCAAGAATATATTTTTTATCACAAATCGTAATTTTGAATGTCATATATGTTTTAACACAATTGATATGCATATCTGGTTATTATACTTATGGTTTATGATATTTAAAATCATTGTTATGGGGAGTTTTTGAAGGTTTGAAGTATATACTAAGAGGCTAGGGCTGGATAGAGTAGAGTTATGGCGATTTTGAAGGTGTTAAATAGTGGAGTTTCGAGTAGTATACTCGAACAATCTTTGGTGAAAAATATTTGTCGTTTAATTACGAACCTTTTTTTCTTTATAATCATAGAAGTTCATTATTAGTTTAGTTTGTTATTTCTTCTGCGTTGCAGTATGGTAAAAAGAACACATGATGGTACCAGGGCTATCATTACAACAGTTATGGCGGTTGCCTTTGGAGTTTTCATTGGTATTTCCCTTCCATCTTTGCATTTGCCTAAGGTAATATTTGTTACTTTTAAATCTTCAATGATCTATGGGGAATTTAACATTCATTTTTAATATACTACTCTCACATTTTTCTTTTCTTGAATTTTGCAGATGAACTTTTCTTCAGCCTTAGGCCATTCTTTTGATGTACCAATAGCTGAAATAGATAGATTTACCGCCGATCTAGACAAAGCTCAATCTATTAGTGAATCTTCTGGTTCTGGAACCAAACGTATTGAATTCCTTGGGTCCATGAGATTACCAAAGGTAGTGCTTCTTATTTACTCTACTTGTCTATTCACCTTTTTTCTCAAAAACATAATTATATTCACTTCAGGTTGTACCAAAGGTAGGACTAGTATTTTGTTATTGTTCAACTATGTTGTAGAATTAGTATTAGTAATTTTATCTCTTATAATGTCTTTATGTTGCATTCCAGCTATGGATTTCATTTAGTTTGTCACTATGTATTACATTATTATATTTGCTTCAGGTTTGTAGGAATACCTTTTGCCAAGATAGTTAGAAAAAAAATGTTTAGTTTGATTGACAATTGTTACTTCTGCAGATGTACGTTTCAACCAATCCTCCTGGAGCAGAATCACTACCCGCTGGAATTGTTGTATCAGAATCTGATTTTTATTTGCGCAGACTATGGGGAGAGCCTAGTGAGGTATGATCTTTGCTAGTTACTTACTATGCATGTAAAGGATAAAAAGAGTAGTGTAAGATGAGTTTGAAACATACAATTGCTATTAAGTCTTGCAGTTAATTTATTAAATGTCTTGTTAATGATCAGTCTAACTATGACACCCAAAATTCTACAGGATCTGAAGAAAAAGCCAAAGTATTTAGTAACATTCACTGTTGGATATCTTCAGAGAAATAATATTGATGCCGCGGTCAAAAAGGTTATAGAGATGTACTATGTTTACATGTCTGAAGTTATTTTTCAATCTTTCCTATTGTGTCTTCGAAGTACCAACTATCATCCTATTGTTCTATAGTTCTCCGATGAATTTGCGATTTTACTCTTTCATTATGATGGACGAACAACTGAATGGGATCAATACGAATGGTCAAGGAATGTAATCCATATTAGTGCTCGGAAACAAACCAAATGGTATTATTTTCCTCTCTTCTTTTCATCCCCCTTCACCCTCGTCTTAGGGGGTTTGTTACTAAGGATTTTTGAAGCAGTTTATAATATAATCAGTTTTCTTTTTATATCAACAAAAGAATGAGAAAATAGTTGATATTGTTTAAATTTTACTTATATTGTTTAATTTTACGCAGGTGGTATGCTAAAAGATTTTTGCACCCTGATATTGTGTCAGCATACGAATACATCTTTATATGGGATGAAGATCTTGGATTGGAACACTTCAATGGAGACAAGTATCTTCCTGTTTCTTATCTGTTTCAGTTCTGTTCATATTTTTCTTTGAATGTAACTTTCAGTTTACTTAACTCTATTTTATGTACCAGGTATATTAAATTGGTTGAAAAACATGGGTTCGAGATATCACAACCTGGACTAGGGGCTAATAGTGGATTCACGTGGGAGATGACAAAGAAGAAGGATGATAGAGAAGTTCACAAGTACGCCTTTGACCTTCCTCTCTAGTTTCAATCATTTTTCTATCAAGTTGCCTTTTGTCATGCTTTCAAATGACCTCTTAAAAATCTTTATGTATCTATTGGTGAAAAGATATACAGAAGAGAGACTCGGAAGGTGTAATGATCCAGATTTGCCTCCTTGTGCAGCGTACGCTCTTTCTTCTCCCTTGATGCAAAGTTGAATTGTAACTTATAACTTTGTCTATAGGCTTTACTTTCTTTCAGTTAACATGATTACAATTCCTTCTGTTTTTTTTTTAGATTTGTGGAAATAATGGCCCCCGTCTTTTCTCGAAAAGCTTGGCGCTGTGTCTGGCATATGATTCAGGTATGTTTTGATTTTCAAGGCACGTTTTCGTTGTTAAACTTATTATGGTAATATAACTAGGCGATTTGTTTTCCTGTATCCAAACTTTTTAATTGCCTGATGAACTTACAATCATATGCTCGTAGAATGATTTAGTGCATGGATGGGGATTAGATTTCGCTCTCAGAAGATGTGCACAGGTCAGTGGATTGTTTTCTGTTCTAAACATAGGTAAGTTCCTGGTGCCTTCAATACCTTACTTTTTGTTTATGTTTTTGGCAGCCAGCACATGAAAAAATTGGTGTGGTGGATGAACAATGGATTGTTCATCAAACAATTCCTACTCTTGGAGACCAGGTTAGTCATTATCATTAACTTACAAGATATTTACTGCCACATATTTTCTCTGATATAAAATAGTACTAAAAAATTGATTGTGCTTTCAACCTGCAATTTTTTTATGTATAATTTTTCAGGGAGAATCTGATCATGGAAAAGATAAATATGATGCGGTATGTTTACTTGACACGGAAACGATATTACTGTTACAATTCTCTGTATTCGTAGCATTACTATATAAAATATTTTTCTGATGTACTACATGTGAAATTTGTGTGGTATAGTAACAAGGAGTTTGTGATTTTTGTCTTGTAAATCAGGTCAAAACGAGATGCAAGAGTGAGTGGGCAGAATTTCAAACTCGCCTCACCAATGCTGATAAAGGGTATCTTAAAGGATTTAGACGAAGTATGAGGGGTTAACATATATACGGTTTTCAATCCTCATGTACATGGTTTACTTATATTGATAGAGTGCATACAAGTATATTTATCAAAGGAAAGAAAGTTACATCTTATGTGTATGGCTAATTGCCACAAACTGCTTGTCTTGTGCACTAAATTTTGAACCAAAACCTGCTCAGAGTGAAGGGTTTTGGATAAGTGAAGGGTTTTGGCATCTAAATAGTGTTGGAATTAATTTTATACAACTAGACATTTCTTTATATATTATATTACAGAAATTTATACTCAGATAAGCATTCTATAAACATAAAAAACAATCATGAAATCTTGATAACTTTAAGAGCTAAGAGAAATATCTAGACCAATTGTTAATGGTCTCTTAGTTATTAAATTAATAGCCTAGTTTAAGCTCATGAAAGCGTACTCTCCCTGAGCATATATGATTTATGGAATCAATACTTTAATTGTTGTCTCACATATTAATGTTGGTGTTGATGGGACACGAGTGAAATCTATGTTAGTCAAGAATAATTACACTAATAAAGATATTATATTTTCTTTTAAAATTTTAAATTTTGTTTACGAGTTTGGAGGGGAGAGTAATAATGGTTTTGGGGATGAGATAACATTTTTATAAAATTGTGTTTTTGCATATAGAATGATAAATGAATACTTATCACTATTATATATATTTTTTTTGATAAGATCACTATTATATTTTTAATTTCAAGAATTTTATTTTATTTTAAATCTTGGTATTCGGTCTTGCGACCGACTAATCCAAAAAGATTATGGTATTCGACATTGCGACCGACTAATCGAAGAAGACTATAAGACCAATCTCACCATCCACTAGCAGTGGCATTCCGGCCTTACCGGCGACTAATTCAAGCGGACTAATCTCACCATACACTAGCAGGGGTCCATTTAAAGGTAGGACAAAACTCTGTATGGACTGACCTAACACAAATTGTTAGCACCTAGTAGAATTCAAACCTGAGATCTTGAGAGAAACAAACTCTTAGGACCCAAGTCTTCACCACTATGTCAACCCTCGGAGGTTTCCTAGAATCTTATAACAACATAAATCAAATAAAATATATTTGAAGAGTATATGTAAGCCTTCCAAAACCCTCGTCCAATGCAAATTTTGAGTTTCCCAAATTAGAGAAATTTTGTATTATGAATAAAAATAAACTTTCAAAAATTCTTTAATTATTCCCCTATTAATATTTCTTTTTAAAAAGTTCTCCTCTCATTTCCCTTCCAAACTTACAAAAAAAAGCCTTAAGATATAAGATATATTGGTCCTCTCACTTATAAAGTGTTCAACTTCCACTCTTTCAAACAATATGGGATTTCTAACTCATAATCGTATTACAACAATTGATTTTGGATGAATATATGGTGTCTCTCTCACTTATGTGGTTGCTATAGACCCAATATGGATATTCCTCTCATGATACAATAATGATATCAGATTCAATGGTTCAACTAAGGGATTGACTCCTTGTATCAAAAGTTCTTTTGACATGGTGATGGTTAGACGGTGTGTCATGTTGAAGTGCATGCGATGCAGTAAAGTATCAACGTCGGTACAAGTGTATGCAGATGAAAAAAATTTCTCTTGAGGAAGAGAATATAAGTGGATGAAATCACACTTAAGGGGCGATTATTGTGATACATGTTTGAGTAAGAAGTTATACATTCTTTGAAAAATTGGAGATTA